CATTAAGCACGGCTATAGAAAGTTGGGAGCCACCCAGGAACCCTCAAAATTTTTTGCCTGCTAACATGAAATGCCTCAGCATATAAAAAATCATGTTCATGCATGCTTTTATATTTAACTCCGAGCACTATGCTGAGTGATGCAAAGGTCTTTCCAATGTGTTGTGAAATTCTCATTTGTTTTGAATAAAGAATGAAAAATGGATTCATTACATTTGGCTCAAGAATTCTTGTACCAAAAATATCATGGAATATTTATCTTTAAAATGTCAATTTATAGGCTGGGTTTTGTGGTACACAGCTTTAATCCCAGCAACAGGAGGCAGAGTCAGGTGGATCTCTGTGAGTTGCAGTTTTGTCAGGGCTCCATAGTGAGACCCTGTCTCAAACAAACAAACAGAATAAAAAGCCCAGTTATTACATGTTCCTTTTTCAGGGCTATACATACACATATCCCAGATGTCCTAAATTGTTTAGCAGATGCTGCCCTCAAGTACAGAAGGTTGGGCAATGTGACCAAATAGCATCTGCTTAAGCCAGCGTTTAATACTGAGGAGAAGAAATAAAGGATGTTAGATCTGAGAAAGGAGAAGAACGAAAAACCAAACTCTTGAAGATGGGACATGAAAACTCAGAAATACTGATCATCATTGAACAGTGGTCATCTAAATCGAGACACTAGACAAGATACCCACTGAGCAATATGGACATTTTAAAGACCTTTTTTCATTCAGAACAATTCTCTGGGAGTTGACCCAGGTCATAGTTTATCCAAATAGTTCATTCTGCTTACTACTGATCAGTATTCTATAATATGCATGTACCTCAGTCTACTTGACCACTCACCCATAAAGTCCCTCTGGGTTGCTTTTAATTTGTGGCTATTCCAAATAAAGTGTCTGTGAACACTAATGTACAGATTTTTGTATAAACATAAATGTGTTGGTTATTGTTGAAGCAAAGTTAATAACTTTGAAGTAAGCTTAATAACTGATTGATCTCGCCTTTTTTGGCTTGTGTAAATAATTCTGAGATTACCCTCTAGTGTGTTAGCTGTATACCAATGGCATATTTGTTTTTCTTTTATGTATTATTGTAAATAAGAGCATGAAACCATGAAAATGGAAAAATGTCAAATTATTTTTCCAAGAACTGTATCATTTACATATGTATCAACAACACATGAGAGATCAAATTTATCTGCCTTGTCACTGGCATTTGTCAATAACACTTTTTCTTTATTTTAACCACCATAATGGTTAATGGTGGTATCTCCTTATAGTATTTCTTTCCAGTTTTTGAGTGGCTAATGATGTGAACATATTTTCGCATTATTCTTTTTCATTACTTTTAATCACCTTTGGTGAAATATCTTCTTGCACTTTGTTCTTTTTTCTAACCAGATTAAGTTTCATCATTGAGTTTTCACAATTCTGTAAATAATTCAGGTATAGCTTTGCCAATAATTAATTTACAAATGTTTTTGCCCAATGCAAATCATATTTTCATCAGGTTCTTTCACAGAGAAAAATCCAAATATTGGTGAGTGCTGTGGGAATTTTTTTCCAAATTTTCCCTTAATACTCTATGCTTTTGGTGTCCCGTCCACAAACACCTTGCCTAGCATTATAAACTGAAGATTTCCTTGTGTTTTTTCCACACATTTTCTTAGTTTATGTCATATTTTAAATGCATGATCCACTATGAATTCATTTTCATATGAAGTGTGAGACAGGTTAAAAGTCATCTTCTGGCATGCAAAATACCCAATTACTCAAGAACTATTGTTGAAAACCTTATCTTTTTACCTTTGATAAAAGTCAGATGCATTTCTGTAAGTCTTTATCTAGTTTTTCTCTTAAGTTCCACTAACTTATATACTTACTCCTTACTAATATGCACCTTATTATTATAATTATATGATGTCTTTGAGTGAGATAGAATGATTCTTCCACTTTACTAACACATCTTTCCAATGTTTTCTAATTATTTCTACCAGCATTTTGCATTTCTCTGTATATAAAGCCTATGTTTTTATCTAAATACCTTTTTACAGGTATTTCATATATAAAGTGATTTTTTTAAATTTTGACTCCACATTTTCATTGCTGTCATATAAAATAGTCTATTTTTATGTTTATCATGTATTTCTTACTATGTAAACAAATTCGCCTATTTCATTCTAGTAGAAGCTGAGAACATTTAGCGCTACCCTGCATAAAGCCATGTATTCTGAAACCTCCCTTGTGGGAAGAAAGACATGTATTTAATTTCACATCTTTAATAGGTATAAGTCTCATCATAGTGCATTTTCTTCTTGAAAATTACAATTCATGTCTCTTAATGAATTTGTATATTTAATCTATGCAAATTTATTGGTACAAAATTGGTGATATTGTTCCATTATAATTCATTTAATGTCTCTATGATCTCTAATGATAACTCATTCTTTCTATTTGAATCTTCTAACTTCTCGATGTTTTTGTGGGTTTAGCAGTCTCACTGATTTTTCACTAGATTCTCTCCTCTTGATGTCACTCACTGCTTTTTCATAATTCTTTGTTCTGCCAACTTCTTTAGAACGACTCATAAATTGTTCATTTGAGAAAGTTATTTTAACAAAAGCATTAAAAACTATAACTATCCAACTACTTCCTTCCTCCTCCTCTTCTTCCTCCTCCTCTTCCTCCTCCTCTTCCTCTTCCTCCTCCTCCTCTTTCTCTTCCTCCTCTTTCTCTTCCTCCTCTTCCTCCTCCTCCTCTTCTTGTCCTCCTCTTCCCATTCCTCCTCCTCCTCTTCTTCCTCCTCCTCTCCTTCCTCCTCCTCCTCTTCTCATCCTCCTCCTCCCATTCCTCCTCCTCTTCTTCCCCCTCCTCCTCTTCTTCCTCCTCTCCTTCCTCCTCCTCCCCTTCCTCCTCCTCCCCCTCCTCCTCCCCCTCCCCCTCCATTTCCTCCTCCTCCTTTTCCTCTTCCTCTTCCTCCTCATGCTCATCCTCCTCCTCCCCCTCCTCCTCCTCTCCTCCTCCTCATGTGTGCCTATGTGTGTGCACACACACCTTTTTTTTTCTTAAGAAAGTCTCTCAGTTGAGCATGGTGGCACAAGCCTTTAATCCCAGCAATTGGGAAGCAAAGGCAGATAGATCTCTGTGAGATAGAGGTCAGACTGGTCTACATAGTGAGTTATGTGCCAGCTGGGACTGTAAGGAGACCCTGTCTCAAACAGCAACAACATAAGTGTCTCTCTTTATGTAACCCAGTCTGGTGTGAAACTCCTGATCCTCCTACCTCATCTTACCTAGAACTAGGACAACAGGAATGCACCATCACACCAGACTATCATTTTCTAAGTTGCTCATGATTTCTTTGATATATGACTTGCTAGAAAATTTTATTTAATTTCCAAAAATTGAGAGATTATCCATTTATCTTTTTATTTAATTCATGGTTAATTTACTGTTGTCATAGAGTATACAGTTATGACATTTTAGTCTTTCTGAACTTTTTGAGGTTTATGCCATGACCTAGAATATGGTCTAATTTGGCTATGTTGGTCAGTTTTTCCATCACAAATCAAATAATTGAGAAAATAAACTTGCAAAGAGAAAAGGTTTATTTTGGACATTTCTGTTCATAATGATTGGATCTGATGCTTTGGGCTGTGGTGAGTCAACAACACATCAGGGCAGAAATGTTTGATATTTCAGGGCCAGAAAGCAAAAGCAAGTAAGAAGAAAGGTCTGAGGTGCCACTATCACTTTCGGTAGTTTACCATTAAGACCTTAAGGCCTCTACTACCTCTTAAAGTTTCACTTTTCCTAATGCAGGAAACCTAGGTTTCCAATATGTGACACATGAAGCTTTAGGAGACTTTCCAGATCCAAACTATAACTGGCGAATACTATATGTGCCCTTGGAAAAAGAAAGGTGCTGCCTGCTTCTGCTGGGTATAGGGTTGTTTAATGTCAGCTGTGTTCAAACGACTTGAGTGATTTTCTGTATTTCTACGTTTATAGATATTTTTGTCTACTTGAATCAGTTATTGAAAAGAGGTGTTAAAATTTAAAGGTAATGTAGATTTGTCTCTCCTTTCAAGTATATCAGCTTTAATTAACACATTTTGAAGTTCTCATGCAATAGTTTTACACACTTATGTGTGATTGTTTCTATATTAAATGACCCTATTTGTTATGCAATACCTGTGATTATTTCTGGTAACATATCTTGTTTTAAATGTATATTATCAATGTTATCCTTTTATTTTGATTAGTACTTGCAAAACCTATCATTTTATATTATTTTATTTTTAACTCCTCTTTGTTTTGTTCTACTGTGGGTAGTTTACAGAAAAAATAGAGTTGGATCTCATCTTCACAATGGACATCAATGTTTTCTGCCTTTAACAGCAGTGTTTAGATTATTTGTGTTTAATGCAACTACTGATGTTTGAATCCCCGCCCCCATCCAAGGACAAGAAATAAAGTCTATATTTCTAAAGATAGGAAGGGGATAATGGTAGAAATCCCAGCATCCTAGCAGTGCTGGGCTTTGAATTCAGGGATTCCGAAGCTTTACCACATCCCCCCAGCCTAGATAGAAACCCTTAAAATTCAATATGGGCAATGCATTGTCCTTGGATGAAGCCTTGTGAGACTGGTTCCACAGGAAATGGTTGCTATCCAAGGCCTGTCCATACCCCAGAGGCACCTGTGGCAGGACACCAAACAAGTCCAAGGAAGATCAGACTGACACCCAGTATTCAGGCCCATTCCTTCCTACTCCTGAATTCTTCCTCCATTCAAAGTCTGGTAGTGGCCAGAAGCAAACTTTACAAAGTTCGGACGGCAAAGATCTAAGACGTCTTCTGATTTTCCTGGAGGTCCAGAGGTGACCCCCTCGTCCTCTGACATCCATCCTGTACGGCTTAACCATGCCAATCTACAAAACAAAGTCAACAGTTGCCATCTTCCCATGTCAGAACAACCTGGGGAAGGACCCTTAGGGGCTGGTGCATCAGGACTAACTGGCAAGTTTTCTCAGTGATCAACATTGTCGATCTGACGGGGGAAAAAAGTCAAGTCATCATTTACATGAAGTTTGTATTTAAATCACCTATTTTCTTGACTTTCTATTTAATTCTATTTCTTTGGCATTTTTCCCTCCCACTTATTTTTAGAATATTGCATTTATTTTATTTTATTTTATTTATTGAATTTTTGTGTATTTCATCTCAATCATCTCAGAACATCTCTATCAATCATAATCATCTTTATACCCCCTTCCCCACTGGCACCTTCCCACAGCCCCCTACTGGAATTCATACATTCTGTCATCTGTGTTAAGGACTATTGTGCCAACAAAAGTATTTAATCTTAAGTGCTGACTAATTTTTTACATTTAATTTTTAACCTTTGTAGTGGTTCTTAGATTAGATAGATATGTATCTTATCATGGTTTAATTTCCAATAATATTGAGCTACTTCATTTGTAGCATAAGAGTTTTCAACAGTGCATCTCTGTAACCTCCTTTGCTCTATCCTTTGTTGTTATATATGCTAGTTCTACATTTCTACACCGACTATAAATTTCTTAAATGGTTAAAACTTCTTCCCTATCTCACATTTGCCATTTTTAAACTTTTTGTTTATGTAATTTTCCATCTGCTATCATGCTCCTCCTGCATTAAGAGCTTCTTTTTAACACTTCATGTCTACTGGAAAGGAAAGTTTTTGCTTTCTTTCTCTTTTTGTCAAAAAAAAAGAATTATTTCCATTTATTAAAACAAACCATTTGAAGGCTAGAGAGATGTCTCAGCTGTGAAGCACGTGCACTTCTCTTGTCGAAAAACTGAGTTCAATTTCCAGAACCCATGTCAGGCAGCTCACAACTGCCTGGAACCCCAAGTCCAGGGGATCTGATGCTCTTTCCTGTCCTACACAGACACCTACACTCATCTACACATACTCAGACACACAAAGACACACATAAAGAAAAATAATACAAATATCTTTTAGATTGAATTATTTCATGTTCATCTTTAACAAATATTAAATGGGTATATAATTCTAGGTTGATGTTTTTCTTTAGGAGTTTTTGCTACTTTGTAAAAAAAAAATTTCTTCATTCTTAGGATATCTTCTGCTATAAGACATAGACCAAGTACCAAAATGTATTTGTGATCTCTAAATATCAATAAAAGTAAAGTATATTTGATGGTGGTCATTTACAAGTGCTTTCAGCATATAATGTTTTATGGTACACATATACTTCTCATTTACACAACAAATACATGTAAGTATGATAACCACAAATGTGATAAACTTGTTGTCCTGGTTTGTCTCTCCATTGCTGTTATAATACTCTGACCAATACCAACTTGGGGAGGAAAGGGTTTATTTTATCTTACATCTCCCGGGTCACAGTTCATCAGGGAGCCCAAGGTAGGAACTCAGGGCAAGAACCTGGAGGCAGGAGCTGGAGCACAGGACATGGAGGAATGCTGCTTACTGGCTTCCTCCTCTGGCCCCTGCTCAACTTGCTTTCTTATGCACACAGGCCTACCTGCTCGGGGTGGCACCACCCACAGTGGGCTGGGCCCTCCCATGTCACTCAACAATCAAGAAGATGCCCCCCAGACATGGCCACAGGCCAGTCCTATGGAAGAAATTCCCCAACCCAGGTGTGTCAAGTTGACACTAAAGCTATCCAGCACACTTGTACAACAACTCTTAAGAAAATAGGCCCTTATTTTTAATATTTCCAATTAGCAAGTATAAATAATATCAAAAAGAAAGAATAATTGTGGGACTGGAGAGATGACTCAGTGGGTAAAGAGTGCTTGTTGTGCATGCTTGAAGACCAGAGTTCTGATCTCAGCGACCACATAAAAATGCACGCATGTCCACATGCATGCCTGTAACCAAAGCACTGTTGAGGATGAAGATAGGAGGACTGCTGTGGTATGACTTGCTGTAGCCAACAGCCTAGTTCCAGTTTCGATGAGAGACCCTGACTCAAAGGAATAAGCTGATGAGTGTTAGATCCAGATACTAGGCATCTTCCCCTGGCTTCTTCATATGTACAAGCATATGAATATGCACACATGTGTACATATGTCCCACACACAGAACACTCATACTCTCATATATTCATAAATATGCAAACACAAAGAATTCTTGTGCTTTTTTCCTTTATAAGGTATTTCTTTGAATATCGGTTTAATTAGTGCGTTGAATGTCGTGGAAACTGATTCCTTCCATGGTACTAAATTTTATTTTCTCATTGATGGGCTGTACCTCTAAAATGAAGGAGGAACCAGGAAGCTTACTCTTACCATACAAGCATACCTTTGATACTACAAATACACTGCTGAGGGCAGTGTACAAGCTGAAATAGACTACATCTTCCTTCTATGTTTCACTGTAGAAAAACCTCAATTGTTAAAACAAATATGTATGTGCAGCCTAGATATACATTGAAAATTGGTTTGATGCTTTGTTTCATATGCTGTATACCAAGATCAAAGTCAGAAACAATGACAGATCCAAGTCTAGTGTTAAATCTATTTTTACCTAGTTTTTTAACCTTTGACAAATATATAGAAAGGATAAAAATCCTCCAGTTAATTAGACTGAATAATCTTTAGTAATCCTATGAAATGGAGAATGAGGTGCAATGTCAAGCATGTCATCTGAAATGAAGGCTTATAAATATGTATGGGCTTTAATTACTCATGATATCACAGACCTCCCTAAAGATACTAAAGAAAAGTTAGGTATATTTAAGTCACAGAATGTCTGGTGCTAGTTGTGTGCCTCTAGTCCAAGAAATTGAGAAGCATAGCCAAGAGAGCTGAGTCTGAGGCCAGCCTGGGCTACATATTGAATTCCAGACCAGCCTTACCTATATAGCAAGACCCTGTTCAAAAAATAAAGATAAATAAAAGGAAGAAAGAAGAGAGGGAAGGAGAAAGAGGAAGAAAGGGAGAGAGAGGCAATCATTAAATCTTTACAGATTAATACCAAAGCAGGAATTTTATGCAATAACACAGCAAGGTATTTGTATTGCTATAAGAATCTGACTGTTGGTGCTGTTCGTCCTTTTTCTCTGTCTAAATTGGATAAAGGAATAGATACTATTTTCTCTGCGAATACTGTGTGTGTGTATGACTGAAATCAGTGCAATGTGCAGATATCTAAATTTGGAGCAAAAATTAGGAATCCATAGTGATATTGATCCAATTTTAAGTTAGCTGGAGAAGGTTCACATTCACTCTTATACTAGGATGACTCATAAGATGGGAGAAGATGCTGCTCTTCATTACTTGACTGACTTATCCCTAGAAAACAGGACACAAACCCTAATGTATCCTGTTTATCAATAATACAGAAATTACGTGGCAATTTCACAGGCTGCAACAAAATAAAAAGATACTTGATCAGAAGAAGCTTAATCTCATTTTCCCAATAAACATCATAGCATATGCATCATCAAAATACAGAATTGGTTCATCAAAAACTTTGCGTTTTCCAGACAGCCAAGCAGTTGCCTGTATGAGCTCACAGCACTTATGACAGTATGCACAAGACCTACTCAACTCAAGCCTGACAAATCCCAGCATGAAGCCAGGAGGTGGACATGATGTCTAGCTGGGGGGCTACTAGTATTTGATAGCTGCTGGGAAAGGAAGTGTCAGTTTGCTTTGAGAGTGTGACCTTTACTAGTTTGATCACAATCCAGGGCAATTTCCACACATATTAGAATCAATGGGGGAAAAAGATGTAAGTAGGTTGGATAGGGACCTAGGGTGGAAGGGACGTGGGGTTGGTTCTGGGAGGATTTGAGAGAGAGGGGATTATGATCAAAACACATTGCATAAAGCTTTCAAAGAATTAATAAAAATATTTAAAATTGTAAGTCAAATAGATTACATATATTTTATCAATATAATTTTAACTTTTTCCCTGCTTATTAGTGAATGATTAGAAAGATAGCTGACATTAAACAAAATAGAAATGGAAACTGCATAGTCATTTCATTTTGACAACTGAACAGGTTATTTCAAGGATAAAGATAGACCTCTAGAATGAATACTGAATATGCAATTGAAATTCCAGTTCCACATGACTCTGCCTGTGACTTCTACAAATGTTTAAGGGGAAAAAAGCAGTGATAATCAGGCTCAAACTCCTTCAGAAAGTGAAGGTTATAGATTTCTAAACTCATTTTATGAGGTCAGTATTCCCCTGATAACAAAACTAGATATTACAGAAACCATAGGCAAATATCTCTAATAAACAAATTCAAATACCTTCACCAAAATTCTAGCAAATGAGTTCATACATCATGATCAAGTAGGATTTATTTCAGAGATGTAAGGATGTTTGTTAACCTACAAGAATTAATATCATATACCACATGAAGAAAGTAAACAAAGGATTTCACGTGATCCTCACAAAAAATTCAGAAAAAAGACTTGGACCAAAATCAACAAGCATTCATAAAACTCTCAACAAACTGGGAATAGAAAAGTACCTAAACCCAATAAAAGCCATATGTAAAAAGCCATAGTTAGCATCATGTTTAATGGTTAAATATGGAAAGCTTTTCCTCAAAGATCAAGGACAATGATGTCTACTGCCACTTCTATTTAATAAAGCACTACCAGAAAGATGAGGCAAAAAGAAAAGAGAAAAAAGAAAAGCATCAAGGCGATGCAGTATAGGCCTGTAATCCCAGCACTGAGGAGGCTGAAGCTGGGGGATTACAAGTTGAGGAAAGCCAGGCTAAAAAGGAAAAATAACAATGCATCCAAATCAGAAAGGAAGAAAGAAAACAATCTCTGCCTGCAGATATGATGTTATCTATAAAACACCCCCAAATATCCACAAACCTTAGAACTTATTGTTTCATGATCCAAATCAACTATCAAAACCAATTCAGTTTCTTACTGCCATGCCTAGTATTTTCTTGACATAATAATAATGACATTATTATTTGTAATGACATTTGAAACACATGACATTTCTGAATAAGCCTTCTGAAGCACACATTGAGGGTTAGAATATAGCACAATGGAAGAACACTTATCTAACTT